TTGTGAATTATTAATTATTGTGATTGTTAAATATTAATCATTATTATGATAATTAAATATTAATTATTATTATGATAATTAAATATTAATTATTATTATTATTATTAAATATTAATCAATATTATTATTAAATATTAATCAATATTATTGTTATTATTAATTACTATTATTGTTATTATTAATTATTATTTTTAAACAGAGCAGAGCAAAGAAGATTTCAGCAGAGCAGAGCAGAGCAGATTTCAGCAGAGCAGAGCAGCTCAATAGAACAGGGCCTAAGCCTAGATGCTAAGGCAAGCACTAATCAACTACCAAAGAGATATAGTTTGATAAGATTGATTACTTGATAATGGGGTCGGGTCTATTTAAAGATTGATGGTGACAGTTATTATTTTCTCCATCGTAATTATTAATTACCGTACCCATTGTAGAAAATAACTGATAGAAATTGTAAAAAGATCAGATATTCTTTGTCATAAATTTAGAATATATTCTATGTATAATATTTCTTTATCTTAATGGGTTACTTAACCTACGTACTTATGATTAGTATTCTTGAAACTCTCGTATCATATCATATCACTAATAAATAAAGCCGGTCTCACAACCAGGCCACGAGACAGCGACACTTGGTATTCCAGTTTAACGCTAAGTGTCGAGCCACGTAAGCGACAAATAGATATTATTATATTGTGATTAGATTGGATAAATTTGTTTAGGATAAAAAAGTATACATAATAAAATTTATAATTCTTTTAAAAAAAATTTATCTTCTTATTGACAATAGAATTTTACTTATGGCAACACACCACATATTATAATTAATATGAACATCCAATTAACAATAGAATTTTACTCCTATACGAATAACAACGTAATTTTAATTATAAATATGGCCATGTATCATCGATTTTTTTTTAGTCTACTATTCATTTACCATTAAAGCTTTTTAATAAGGTATTCTTCATATTCTATTGTAATATTTGTGTATGTTTGTGATTTTGATCGTTAATGAAATCAAAGAAGTCAAAAACTACAAAAATACACAACAAAAACTGTATAATACAAGAGAATCTTGAAGTGAATTCAAATCAATGTTAGCAAGGTCTTAGAACTTTACGGGTTTTACAAAACCTCCATAGCCCATTTACCAGCCATACATTATGACAAATGGTCCAATTAGGCCAATAATAAAAATATATAATCTGTTGATTTTGCATGTTAAAAAAAATTACTTTTAACTTTTTATTTATTTTATGTTTTTTAACGACGCACTCTTCTTTTCACAAAATTATACCCCCTCTATTATTTTAGCATCCCTTTGAAATTTAACACATATGTCGACATAAAACTTTGATAAACAATATCTTAATTATATATATATATATATATATATATATATATATATATATATATATATATATATATATATATATATATATATATATATATATATATATATATATATATATAATTCACAAACATTGGTCATAGTAGACCAAGTGAATATAGTGCAACTTACAAAAACAGAAAATGATAACAAACGTGAAAAAAGAATAATAGATAGTATTATTTCTACTCTCTTTTTGTATCTAACATTTAAAAAAATATAAATACTAATAATAATAATTATTATTATTATTGTTATTATTATACTTATAATTATAATAATAATATAAAATATGTCCACAAATAAGTACACTCTTTGAAATGGGTATCCGAGGCAACGCTCGAGGCACGTATTAGTCACTAATAAATAAAGCTGGTCTCACAACCAGGCCACGAGACATCAACACTTGACATTCCAGTTTTTCGCCAAGTGTCGAGCCACGTAGGCGACAAATTGGTGGTGTCACGCTGGTGGTGGAGGTGGTGGAGGCGTTTTTTTTTTTGTTTTTTTATTGACTTTTCCGACGGAAATTTCCGTCGGAAAATTGCGATGGAATTCCGTTTAAAGTCAAAACGAGCTCCGACAGAATGGATTCCGTCGGAAAAGTGGCTTCGGACGGAATTTCCCTCGGAAAACGTCGAATTTCCTACAAATGGTATTGCGACAGATTGATTCCGTCGGAAGGCCGTTTTCCGACGGATTTTCCGATGTTTTTCCGCCGGAATCCAGCTGTTTTCTTGTAGTGTATGATGTGAAGTAAGCAAATTTTGGATAGATTTTTTTAAGATAAAAATGTTATATAGTGTTATATTATCGATATACTTCTAATATTTCATATATTCAAAATTAATTAATAAATATCTTATAACTCAGTACTGTTTCCATCATAAAATTCGTTTTAAAAAGTTCTTTAAAATGAGATCCATTTATAATATATTTTAATAAACAATAGGAAATAAGTAAAAATAAGTTTTAATCAGAAAAAATAATTTTAGTTTGGTAAAAGTACTTTCAGTACATTAAAAATAATTTAAGTGCAATAAAAAAAATATCAAATTAATAATAACATAGATATTTATTTACAAATAAAACTACAAAAAATACACTATTATATAAATAAGTGATATGATATCGTATGTCTAAATACTTTACATTATCAAAAAGGATTATATGATCGTATTTTAAACTAAAAAGTTTAGAACAATTCGGGCATCGCGTAGGCACAAAACTAGTAGATTATTATCAGGCATACACTCCAACCTGCTGAGGACTTCTTCCAAAATCTAATATGATATCATATCAGATCTTATATGTTAGCTTCTGTAATTATTTTTTCATCTATGTCATGGAAATAACTACACTTATTGAAATAAAATACGAGTATTTCAAACTATTGTATTATAGTAATATTGTAGTACTAGTAGTGTTAGTAAGCAATATAATACTCCATGTGTCCTTTTTAATTAAATTATGAATACTACTCAGGACATACTCCTTATGTCCCTTTTTATCTAGCTAGTTTGGAGATATGAGGGATTGCGATTTTCGAGTAAATGTTATCCAATATTTTAATGATAAATACATATTTGAAAAAACATATTATCATTGCAAAAATGAAAACAAGACATTGATCATATAAAGACAAGACATACATCGATGGATATAAAGGCTTGAATTTGAGACCAACAAATATTTTGTCTTACCATTAACTTTCTAGTGATTATGAGACAATTCAAATAATAATTTAGCAACTTTAATTTAATTTTGTGGTTTTCAAATTTTGTGTCTTTTTTTCTTTTTTCTCTAAGATTACATATAAAGATTTTTATTATTTTGTTAAACATCTTTGGATCATAACATATGAGACAAATATAATTCTCGTATTACAAACAATCAAAAGGCCAAAATAATACTTTAAACAATACAAAGTGCTACTCAAAAGTGTGTAACATATAAAAATTTTATTTTCCAAGCTAAGCTTGATCTAGTGGAAAGGGTTGTACCTTTCAACCTAGAGGTTGGGAGTTCAATCCCCACTAGAGACACTTTGGGAAGGGGATTCCTTTACCCTTTCCCCCCACTCTCAATTCTCAAAGTGCCTAACCCGCTGACCCGGGTGGGGAGGACCCGCGAGAGGATCCGACCCGGTAGGGCCCTTCTCCTTTCCAACTTAAAAATATTTATATATATAAAAATTTTATTTGTTATTTCTTTAAACAAGGCATTTTCAAGATAATCATGACTATGCTACCAATATTATTCTTAACCCGTGATAGATGCACAAGTAAATTAACAATTGAAATTTTGGTGGTAACTGATAAGGTAGTGACATCACTCCCCTCCTTACTTCCTTTGTCAAGTGAGTCCCCTTTTTTTTTTTTTTAATCGAGACTAACAATTAAACATTACGAGTAGTGATCATCTTTTCTGAAAACCAATGACAACTTTGTTTATTACTTTATAATTCTCCGATTAAGGTTTTGTACACTTTTCTAAAAATATCCTCAATAGTTGTATCAGGGATTAGGTCCAATGCATCCAAACACCTTCTTTCTCTATCAGAGATGATCAATTTTAAGTTAGAATTGGATGCTTCTTCATACCTTTTATAACTTGAATTGTCCCACAACGAAGAATCTGTCACAACTCACAAATAACATCTTTTGAAGTTCTAACATGTCCACATTGACATTGTTGGTTTTGCTGAAATGGACTATCTTTATGTGCAACTTATGATTGTTTTACCTTTCTTTGTATAACCAACATGTCAGACACCATAACAAGTAGGCAAGAATTTCGCATTATACGTGTCGAAATTTAAGAAATAGTACCACTCAATCTAACTAATAGACCACAAGCGACCTAAGCACCAATAAAGAAATTGAGCTAAAATACCATAATTATCTTTCAATATTAAAAATTTTTGTATCACCATTTAGCCACCAAAACACCCCCACTTTTCAACTTTTTGTCTAAGGCTATCGTTAAGGGTGATAAGTGACATTTACAAAGTGACTTTTACAAAGTGACTTATTAATTTTGAATATCTTAATATACAAATGCAGCCTGTTATTTAGGGATAAGAATGTAAGTAATTTTACTAGATTCTTGATTTATTTTCTCATTACACCAATATGTACATGAATTGCATCATAGCCTATGAAGTATGAAAGAAAGATACTTGTGGTTTCTCTTATCTATTAAAGTAGGACTAACAGCAACCAAAACAAGCAGGCTTGCCAATAAGACATGCAGGTTCACCAATCACCACCAAAAACCCCCAACATAATTTTGACATTGCGGAGTATTCTACCTTATCTTACTTGCTCCTAAGCATAACCTTAATAAAAACACTAAGATATCGAGAACCTCATCAACAACACCAGCAATATAAGTCACATGAGAACATCAACAGCAAGTGTAGAAGTCCAAGATGTTTCGATAAATTTCTTCTTTTTCAGTCCAATCACATTGCATTTTTAATGTTGATTACAATGAGTTTTTCTATTATTACAGTCAAAATAAGCAGGTTTCATGCTCTCCAAAAGCATTACTGTTTCCTGCTGATTCTCAGTCAGTGAATGAAAATTTTAAGTTCCAAAAGACAAGTAGACCATTAATCAACTGCAGCATGTAATTATCATTAACCTTCCTTACATTCAACATAAGACTCGTACAACATATATCTCTAACATACGGGAGTTAAAGCAAAGTAAAACATGCTAAACTCTCCCATTTTCATCAGGTGAAACAGGGCCTAAAAGCTCCAGCAGCTAAAATTTCTAGACCATAAACTGGTATGGAGTTCACCAATCATGTTTCTGAGCCACTTCTCCTACAACACCATCTATCTAGCGTGGGCGAGTAGGCATTTCCCTGGGCCCAACTTGTCTAACCAACTGAAAATCATTAACAAGTAGTTAGCAACACAAAGAATACGTAGTAACATTAATGGCGACAGGAATAATTAAAAAGTCTGATATTTTCTTTCAAATCAAAATAAAGGAATAACTGGAATAGCCGAAATAATATGAATATAAAAACCTGAAAGTAGGATTCAAGTTTCCTTTTAAGAGTCGCATATTCTCTCTTCAATTGCTGGAAAGTCCTCATGCAGCTGCTCACACCATGCAAAAGCATAAGGCGATAAATTTAAGGAGCCGAAAGAAAAACAAAATATAGTTCCTACACTGGCCAGCAGTTGGGTGGTAAGATTTGTTCATTAAAATTTATTACGTCAAGTGTTTAGATGTCTAGTAACGTATGTAACAATACATGAGTGACTTTAATTGATATCTCTAGTTATTAAATAAGCAGCTGCCTTAGGTTCTTACAGAATCTCAAAAATGATCTTAAGTTAATAGCGAGAAATAGAGTGTCTTCAAAACATGTAATACCCTTTTCTCAAGCTGACAAAGACTATGTAAGTTAGACTGATAGAACAAAGATTCCAGGACCAAGAGAATTACCCATCACTGTTTCCTGCCCTGCAATATTCTTTGAACTGATTACATTCATTTCTCACCCTCTTGGCTCCGATGCTGCACCAAAAGAAAACTATGAGGTTAGATTTCAAAACCAAAGACTGCTACTCATAACTAATCATTAAGTTTATCAGATATGTAGCTGTTTGTTTTTTCATATATACCTTGAGCAACTTCCTTTGAACTGTTGCATGATGTTGTCCAACCTAACAAAGTCTAGTGGACTCCTTTCCCTGTAAACAGAGGAAAACTTGGTTACTATTGTCAATCATTAAGTATCAGGCTTGCTAACTGGTTATATAATAACTTGAGAATTTCGTTGAAAAGAAAGATGAAGAAAATGGCTTACATTGCTTGCTCTAGATTGGTTAGCAACCTTCCTGAATCTCTATAGAAAAGAGTTGCAACTTCCTCTACGAAATTCGGGTTGGTGTCATCCTGCAATTCTTCTAGCTGAACAAATTGCTCATCCAAAAATCCCTGCAAAATGATCCATTATTTAGCAAGGAGAGAATAAAGCAACTTAACAAATTACATATCCTAAATCCAAGAACCAAGTAGGTTAGAAGGGGAAAAAAGGAAACCTGATCAAAGAAAGATTGTCTCATCTGAGCAACTTGACGATGCAATTGGTTACGCTCCATTACTGTGATAGTGGTACAAGTGTAAGGAAATGAATTTGGTTGTGAGTGTACAGAGTACGGAGTACGGAATAGTGTCGGTGTGTTTTAAAACTCTTAAGTGAGGCTTGAGTGTTGGTTCATATCATAAGGACACGCCAAATGGTGTTTATATAGTAGGATTCCAGGAGAGGAAAGCAAAAAGGAGAGAAGTGAGAATGTTCTTAAGAAGGGATATCGGGGGCCACAGTTAAATGATTGTGAGATGAACGATATGGTATGGAGCATAAAAGCAACAGATAATGGATGCACTGTGAAATAGGAATAGCATTTTGCCTTTAGTTCTGCAGGAAGGAGCTTAAAAAAATAAATATCAGACGGACAAACCTGGCTTGTTTGTCATTTTATTGGCCGTGAAAATTAGCTCCTGCAGATTCCAATTTTTCTGTATTCTCCAGTGATCTGCAATAGCTTTTAATACACTCAATTCTTATTTGATACTGTAAAGTACAAGGTTTTGATTAAACTTTTCTCATCTTTTATACTGCGTGTAAATATCTTCACCACACTGCTTAATTATACGGTACACTCTGATTTATATAGGCATGCACCACATGCACTGACACGTGAAATGTTCATGATTGGCACATGTAATGCATGAGCCAGCCACCCGCACCACCGGTTTAGTGCACAAGCCAGTGGTTGCACGAAACTCGGTACACTTGGGTGCATGGTGTATTATTTTCCATTTGGTGCTCGAGTCCAGCTAGAACGCTCATATTCAATAAGTGTACCACCTAGAAACTGAATCAACCAAAAAGAATAGAGAATAGTCTGATATGCCAACTAGCAAAGATACAAGTAGAAACTCCACCATTAAGTACATTAACGACCAGAAAGCAATTATAAAGCCCCTTTTTTGTCAATTCTTTTCACATGAATGGGAACTCTGGATGGGCAAGAAGTATGGGGAAACTTCATACCTGACGATTATGATTTCTTAAGAAAGAATATTCTCTGTTCCAAAAAAAAAAACAGAACATATAACAAAACCCCAAGTTAGATTAAAATAGAAAATTGACAGTTTGGACACTTAACAAACCTGTACAAAACATTGAGATGCATTGATATTTTCTAATTCATCCTTGTTTATATTAACTTATACTTCATCAAACAGCGTTAATTAAGAGCTTACACAGCTTTTTGAACAAAACATGTTCAAATATTTACCTAGTGTTTAGCTTGCAGAACTAAGTAATTAAACAATATTATGCCAATTAACCACAATTATCCACTTCGTCGTTTAAGAAACGTAAATCAGAAGAAATCAGACCTTTATCCTCAAGCCTTTTTACCTTATAAACTCAGATTGTCACAAAATAGGCACTTAGGCTACATACATATTGATCATATCTCTTAATCCCCCAATATAATAAAGCAAACTAAATCTAAGGGCTCTTTTATTTATATTGATAACTATATTTAAGTATAAAACCATAACATGATTTGCTACCTATACTATCTTTTTTTAAAAAACAAACTCAAATGGAGTTGCCAATCTTCAACCCATAACCCAATTGATGAAGTGAGGATTTCTAACGTAAGTCTCTATCGATACTAAGAAAAAGAATTAAAGAACTGAAATTGTTATTCATATACCTAATTTGACCCCTTCAACCTCTTTTGAAAGTTGAAACCCCTTTCAGTTATTGCTTGTAATATTCTAGAAAATTGAACCTCCACAATTGTATATGAATATCATTGTTATAACGCCGTTCATTAGTTTGGCACATTACCTCCAACCACACATCAAAACAATCATACCAACATATTTTATGTCAAGTATCAAAAGTTACAAGTAACATTAATTTATTTATTTTTTTTAAAAAAAAAAAAGATACCATGCATTGTGCAGGAAATAATATTAGTGTTAAAATAAGGTTGAAATACATTCATCCCTTTCCAGCGACAACAAAAAACCTAAAGTTGTGGCAAAATACAGCTAATCTAGACCTGATTCAAGACAAGCTTGGGAAGCAGTTTTTTCTGGCCCTACTAATCAAGTTCAAACTGTATTAGTCATGGGACTGCTCAATCAGGTCAGTTTGATAGGGGTTCAGCTGCAGTTTTCCGGCTCAATGCCCTGGGAACATTTTTAAAGTTGTGACTAGGCCCATGATTTTGTTATTGAGCATGCTACAAGCCTACAATTGTAGGCAGTTCATGGTAAAAAGGCACTTTAAACAATCATAAAACATATGATTCACTTAGCAAAAACAATTGCTTGGCATATACCACATTTAGTTGTGATTGCCCTACTTTCCTAACCATAAACATCATTTTTAGGATTAGATATCATATTCTCGAGTACTTTAATATTTGTAGCATAAGACAGAAGAATCTATCTTAAAAGAGCCAAAGCTAAGAATTGTTTCCCTCTTTTCCTTATTTTGGACGAAACAGGTGCTTGATTTAACATGTTATGAAGATTCTGTCATTATATTAAGAGATTGCAGATGTATCAATCACAAAAGGAATATAAGTTATGCAAGAAATGACAGGCACTCAGCAAAAACAATTTATAAACAACTAGTTAACAAACAACGAATCCTACTTATTTGTAGCTTAGAATGAAAAACTGGATTTCAAATTCTAGGTGCCAACTTTTGTGATAATTCACTATCCTTAATAACCTCTCTTGGAATAATTAAGTTTTGTTTAATTGGCAAGAACATATCTTCTAAAAGGCGTCCTACCTCTAAGAGCTTAAGAGTGTCAAGTAAAACAGTATCTTTAGAAGATGAAGGATCACAATTAAGGGCCTAAGTCTTCCATATTGGGACAAATATAGGTAACACTAAACCTACCATCCTCGTCCAAAAAGCAGAATCATAAGATTTTGACTACATTTCCTTGTTCAATTCAGTGAGAGAAAAATTACTCTTAAATTGTGCTATCTAGCAGCAACTTGGCTTCAACACAGTTGTGATGCTTGTCTAAACCTGTAAACACACTAAATTTATTCTGTTCATACAATATGATAGTAATACACTTCAGGAAATGACTCGATTTAATATACTCCTACATATATTCACCTCTTTTTGAGAAATAAAGATCATTCTGCATAAGATACTGTAAGCTACTAGCAGTATTACTACAAACAGTTTGTATTTCCCAAACCAAAAACTAATAAAAGACGAGATAGTAGTTTTTTTTTTTGGTTGAAAAATCAGCAAGAACTGAAAACCATAATTCTAATTTGAGGTATACAAAGACCGCAATTTAATTTTCATCTAATGCTATCAATTAACATGAAGTTAAAATTCTTATTAAACAGCCAATCCCAGGATATTTCTCATTGCTCAAGAACACTAAGTTGGATTCTTTGGGCCAAGAATACCCAAAATAGCAGACACCAACGATAAGAGAATCACTGATAACCAGAAAAGGAAAAGGCAACAAATGAAAAAAAAAAATTGTAGATTGTTAATTGGTAAAGAAAGTCCAGAGAAAAGAAGAGATTCTCCCTTTATTCTGATTCCACAGGCCAAGTGAAGTGAGAGTAGGGGGAAGTGAAAATCAGACTCCTCTTCCTACACGTGCAACCTCTACAATGTTTCCTTTATGCAAATGCGTGGTCACATCTACTCCTTTGTTAAAGAATTAGGAGTAAAAGATAGGAGTGTGGGTGGAGGGGGATCAGAATATGATCTCATGTTTCCTTCAGGCATATGTAGTGGTTCTTTTCTTCAATCACTGTCTCCTATGTTGATAAGAATCCCGACCTGGACAACATTATTACTAGTAGCTTGGATGAAATTTAAGCACGCAGCCAACACTTACTGCTTTAAATCACTTCATGTTTGCAGCATCATACTAAGGCAAGGACAGACAAAAGCAGGAAATTCCCTTATTCTAGCCACAAACTCGAAACGTTGCATTGCAATTCCATAAATATATTCTCAGTGGAGAAAAAAAAGAAAAGAAAGTATGCATACATAGTAATGATCACTTCGGCAACACAAAAGAGGGAGAGGGAGAGGAAGCAAGATATTTTTGACTAAGCTTAATATAGTTACTCCCTCCTCTCATTATAAAAATTATATCTTGTCTTATTAAGGAGTAAAAAAAGAAGTGGGTGGGTGTGGGGCTCAATTATATAAAGAAATTGGGGGGAAAACTTACTATTAACAAATGTACAATGATAATGGAATATCCAAATACTTTATATGTATAGTCTTTTAAGAAATGTTGCATGCTTCAACATACCTTAATCTTCTTTCAAAACAAAAAGAAGTAATCCAGAAATTATGTACTTTGTATTAAACAAGTCTAAACACGCTAGTTAATATGTTGTGAAATTATTTACATCAAAGATGGCCTTCAACATAAAAGGACCATTTCGTACATCACCTCTAGTGTTTTACGTATGTCAAAAGCATCATGATGTTTGATACTCCTTTTCTTTTCCTAATGGTTTCTGCAACAATTGGGAACTACCAGTTCAGTACTGTATATATCCCTTTCTAGGATATAATTTTAATAAAGAGGGGACGGAGGGGGGCTCCACAAACTCTTATATACTGTTGTGCGACAGCGGAAGCAAAGGTCGTAAACAAACAAGAAAACAATAAAGAAATTCAATGCAAACAATAAGAACAACACCAAGAATTTACGTGGTTCACTATCGATGTGATAGCTACGTCCACGGGCACCGAGATCGAATGATTTCACTATAAACTGGCAAAGATTACAAAGATTACAATGAAGAACTTAATCACTCAAAGTATTCTCTCTCTTGTGTTTCTCTCTCCGTTACCCTAATAATGATAATAGGAAGTTTATATAGTAGTGATTCCTAATTAAGATATACTTAGGTTACAATATCACAATATGATAAATATTAAATTCGTAATCGCTGAAAAAACCCAGATCGCCCGGTCGGGCGAAGGCCCGCCCGATCGGGCGCGAGAACACGTCTTTTCCAACAACCGAAGTACTCCAAAAAACCCCTTCCGCCCGGCCCGATCGGGCAATGTCCGCCCGATCGGGCGAAGGCTCGCCCGGTCGGGCGAAAGCTCGCCCGGTCGGGCGCGCGAGAGCAGCTTCTTCAACGAATTTGCCAGGCACCTCTTCTTCTTCCGCCCGGTCAGACCGGGTAATGTCCGCCCGATCGGGCGGACAAAGCAACGAAGTACGAGTCACCTAATACTTATCAACAATCTCCACCTTGACGAGAACTCGTAGTCAGCAAACGACCCCATCAAGACATAGTGAAAAAACATCTCAAGCCAAACCCGATGCAGGACTCATGCATAAGCCATACATCCCGATAAGTCTTCAACCAAGACCCATCACATACTCGTCTCCAAGTATAACAACTCATAATGCTCCACCTGCATCACAAGCCCCGGGCAAGCTCCACCTTAATGCCAACACACCTACACCAGGAGCTCCCCAACTTCGCCCCTCAGGGCCTACTACATCACGTAGTAATCAATATTTAGCAAGTCTAAGCAATGTTTAAACTTGCTAAACGGAACAGGC